AACGAAATAGCCCAGTGCTCTTTTGTCGTTTTAGTTGCTTACGTTCTTGAACGCCCTAAGAACCTTTCTAAGGTCCATTTGTTGAATGTGCTTTCTCCTCCTCTCTGTTCTTTGGTCTCATAAACAGTTTTCTAATCGCACACTCAAGTAGCTTGCACTTTTCACATAAGCTTCAAGTCGATTCGTCTCTACCAACGATCATTTCTCGTTTTGACTGCTTCATGTATGTCCGTACTCCCATCCCGAAAGTCCGCTACTTGTCCCTTTTCGAAATGGAGTGGGTACGGTACCAGGATATCTGTCAACCGCGGAGGTCCTCGTACCTTTTTTCCTTCTCCTCCCTTTTCTCCTTCCACGAATATGACATTCATTTTTGGCGCTGGCGCTAATGGATGACACTACGGTTACCTGCGCTCTGCTAAGGCTGAGCCCAGGAGGTAATCGTAGTGTCCTCTCTTGGCGCCAGCGCCAAGAATGAGTGTCATACTCGTAATCAGGATGTTGAATTACCCCTATATACAAGTTTTTAGTGGATTTGGTGACTTAGGCAATTTGAAAATGAGCTCGAAGACGAAATTTCTGGAGTCCAAACGGCATTAGCCTACTGTGACAGTGCATAGTCAGACTAGCAGAGTCGGATGAGTGGCATAGATGCAGAGGTCGTAAACATTTTACCACTGGCGCTCTCTTTCTCTCTCCTCTCTGTCAGTTGGCGTAATTGTGTGATACTCTTGAGTTGATCATACGCTGATTATCCTGATTCTTATGGTCTTTCTACTTACATTTCAATTTTGCCAAACTTTTAACTCCTTGTTGTTCTCCACCTCTTTTTCGTTTAAATTCGAAAGTTCCTCATGTTCTCGACTTTCAGAATGGATCCTGATGGATTCAGCGATGTCAGCGATTTACAGACACGGCTATATAAACTGATGCCAAAGCAAACACAGGACATTGTAAGTTCCACTATCAGCGACTAGTGTTAAATGCGACCAACTACTCTGTCTTCCCGATTCTGGTGCGACGCTGAGAGACGTTAGAGTCTTTTTATTGAAAGAGAGGGGAAATTAACCTGGCCCCGATATGTCAGTTGTTAGAAAACATGGACTTACGATATATAAGTCATAAGGCTGTTGAAATCCAAATGCAAAAGTTCTCTCTGTTTACGAAAATAAGTTAAGCCACTATTTACTTATTAGTCACTAATTCATTCATATTTACCAGGGAGCTGGGTGTTGAAAACACCAGGCTCCCTGTTGACTGGTGACTTCGCACTTCTCGAAATTTCCTGGATAGAACAAACTAGCTAGGTGACATTTGAACGCGAAAGTGTGGCTGCTGATTAGTATGTCGTAGTATGTAACGTGCATAGAGTTACAAACCGGAAAATTGGTATTTTCCATGAATTGTCGGTGGAGGAATCGGTGTTTTCCTGATACTTTTTCCTGTTTCTGTTTAGCAGGGAATACGAGTATCTCCCGTTCTTATGAGTTGGTTGCTCGTGCCACCTTTTTGCAAAAAAGGGAAGGAAGAGGAAAATCCCCTCTTAATGCTTGCCTTTTTGGTCCCAGCCTTGTCCAACTCGATGGAGTCTCACCAATCATGTCCTGCATTCACATCGGTCGAGACAGTTTTGCTGAAGAGGCAGAGCAGAAGCGATTTCAAGAGAGAACCGATATTCGGCGGAGTGTTTCTTTCCGTGATTGGAGTCGTGAAATGATTCAACTTTGTCCCAACAACCTGCAAGTCATGGGTTTGAAGTACATTGTTGCAGGTTGCCACAGCCACCTTCCTTATCGCTTTGCCCATTGGTTTTTTAATAAACATCTTCTGTATAATGCCTCTTTGGTATCCAGCGTTTGGAGAAGGTTCGTTTTATGACCGGTGTTGTTGTGACTATTTGGTTGTTTTATCGTTGATTTCTCGGGTATGATCCTAGGATTTCTGAGTTTTATTTTGTATGAAATTTCTTCGTGCTTTTCTTGTTGAGCAAAACTCTTCAAGATTTCATGTCACAGCGTTTCGGGCCCTCAACTCTGCCTCAGGTCTACAAAATATTAAGTAATAAGCGGAATACATACGTAGATCATTAGTAACAGGACTTAGTTTGAGCAAAGACTGATACGGGAAAAACCCCATGAATCACTGCAAATGCTATTCCATGGACATGAAAGGGGAAAGGGAATGAGGCCTGTGCGGGATGACTTCTCTAACTGTGTATTCTTAGAGAAAGAAATGAAGCACTATAAGACTGTGTGGTAAATTGGCCGAAGGGCTGATTTCGTTAAAAATGGCCTCTTTACCCCTCTTGTCCAACTGGAAATCAGAAACGTTTGGCTGCGAAAGCGGGCTCTATTTCAGGCAGCGTTTTCTCGTGTTGTGCTCGTAAAGGCAGCTGCCTCGAAGGGATTCTCCGGATCTGCTGCGAATCTAAGAGAGCCTTGAATGTTCGTGCCGCCTTTTTGTAAGGAAAAGCCCCCTATCCCTAATTTTAAAGTACTAGCCGGCATCCACTTAGGCAGAACGGCTGTTTTTTGACGGAAACTTTACAAAGGAATGGTTGGACTTCCCATGGAACATTTTGAATGAGAACCTCGATAGAAGCCCCTCCGAATGCTGGTTACGAATATGCAAGAATTAAAAGTGGCTACGCGGGACCCCCCCCCCAGAACGAGATTTGGTGGTCATAGTTTGTTGGTTCTGGGCCTCGTAGCGGCTGCTGATCGATGCGTCGCAGTGCCACCACCGTGGCCTCGTGGTAATGGTCTCGCTTTCAAGTCAAACGCATGCGGGTTTGCATCGGTTGGCGCGAAAATTTTTGCTTCGCTCCGTATAAGAGCTTCAACTCTAATTTTCGAAATTCTTCCGAATTTACGGCCCAGCAGGGCAAGTAGATCAAGTACATCAAGTATACGACGTACTCGATCTAGTATGGATTTGGTCATATCTGCCCTCTCTGAACATATTACCCATCCGACAATTCAAAGTTTTGCCCAGAATCGCAATTTGGCCAGACGAGCGTTTTTTCGTCGAAGGAAGTGATATTCGTGTTCAGGGGGTCGAAATCTCCCATGAACGAATTTCTCGCTAAAACTTTGATTGTCGGATGGGTAATATGTTCAGAGAGGGCAGATATGACCAAATCCATACTAGATCGAGTATGTCGTATACTTGATGTACTTGATCTACTTGCCCTGCTGGGCCGTAAATTCGGAAGAATTTCGAAAATTAGAGTTGAAGCTCTTATACGGAGCGAAGCAAAAATTTTCGCGCCAACCGGATGCAAACCCGCATGCGTTTGACTTGAAAGCGAGACCATTACCACGAGGCCACGGTGGCACTGCCGAGGCATCGATCAGCAGCGCTTACGAGCCAGAACTCAAACTTTGACCACCCAGATCTCGTCTGGGAGGTCCCCGTAGCACTTTTAATCTGCAATCAGCATTCGAGGCTCTATCGATGTACCTAGGTCTCCATTCAAAGTTCCATGGGAAGTTCAAACCATTCCCTGTTAGAGACCGAAACGTTTCACATAGAATCTTGGAGAATTTCGTTCCAAATTAAAACACGTTGTCTAAACACGAGTGTCCTGAATTCAGCATGGGTCATTCGAGTGTCCTGTTTCCTTGTTTTGGCATTTAATGTCTATATGAACTGGTACAAAATGGTGTCAGTTGGGCCGAGTGGATTACATCCAGAACTCCCTAAAGTATTCAAAGCAGGTTTCAGGTGAGGTATAAGAGAACATAAAAGTGGCAGCTGAATGTACAAATCAGTAAGTGAAGTGTTCAGATATTGTCACTCCTGTCACAGCAATGCTCCACCTCGTGCCTATCATTGTCCAGGTGACTGCTACGAGCTGACATTTTTCGTTGGAAAGGAGTACATCCACTTAGAAAAGCTGCAACCGATTGAACCGTCATGGAGAGCTACTATAGAATTACTAGTATTTTTCGCACAAGACCTGGAGTCTGGGCATGAAGGGGCTTCTTTCAACATCGGGCTCTTAATGCATATTCATCCACCATTTTGACGATGATGCACGCTAAAGCTGATCAGCGTTTGATAATGAATGTTATAAGGGAGCAGTGATTTTAATTAAGAAGATCTGGAAGTTCATTGACCGTATTGTACCGAAATCAACGGACCACAGTGCAGTGCAGTCGATCGGTTCGACCCGTACATATCAGTGTGGAAATCTGCACCGTAGCACTATGTATTATTCTAGAGATCGACACTTACCAAGTTCCAGCAAATTCTCCGATTCTTCAGTGATGAGGGGTCCGAGAATAATGAAACTTGAAACTCTACAGGAAGCAATAAATGGATCATCCCTTTTGGTTACATAACCTTTAGTCCTTATTTCGTCAAATCCCGCCTCATCAGTGGGTTGATATAAGGACACAGGGAGGGACTTACGAAAGAAAGTGTAAAGTAATTTTTGTTCCAAAAGAGCTATCCCGTTTTTTTTGTGATGCAGTTATTGTCCCTTGTGTATATCTGGGTAAGACGCTGATCTGCTTCATTCTGAATCCTACTTGGTCGTTGTGTTGATGGTTTGAATTTACACTGGATTTTCCTCTTACAGTATGCGACAAATGTTGCTTCCGTCGTGATCATCACAGTTCATTCGGTGCAGTTTGTGTTGGCCACTTCAACCAAAGGTAAGGGTTTCAAAGTACAATGCTACCCTCACCCTAGTTCTACTGTCAGCATGTTGTGGCTACTGTAGGGCACAGAGCATAGGCACGAACAAAAGGCATTGAACAGTGCCAACGTTATATGCACTCCATGTCGACTGTCCCAAACCCGAAAAGAAGTTTTAGTGGATTATCGCAGGTCATACTACAATGCGCCTGGTTGGAACTATCTGGAACGAAGCAGTGCTGTTTCGAAATAATGGGGACTGAAATACCCAGAGGCGAGGCGATTCTCAACTAACTAATTTTCAGCTCAAAAGTCTAGGTGGTAAGAATACATCGATGGCCCCCTGAAAGATGAGTTCGCTCGGGAGGACAATCCAGAAACACTTGATTGGTGGTTAATGGCTTTACTGCTCTCTGGACAGTGTCTAAATGAAGCATGGGGGTTGAGAGAGCGATGTGGTCGAGGTGTGCTACTGGTAGGGATTAGTAGAGTACGGGATATATGTACAAGTGCATTTCCTTCCTTCGACAGTGCAATTGCATACGTGGAAAAACAGTGCTGCTGCCGAATCTTCAAAAGAATAGGGACAAAATGTTTCATTACCATGTGACCATTGTGACTGCGCAGCTGCCACGCAGACTCCCATCTACAGTGATGACTTTGAAAAATAATCTGGGTTAGTGTTTTTATCAGATTGATTCTATGAACAATACAGAATTCCCTTTTGCTGCTGAACTGTGTAATAGTAGAAGTAGGTAATGAGATACTTCTGATTCCAGATATTTTGTTGCTGCCATTGTGAACCTTCTTGTACTTTGTATTCCACTCTTCAGGTGGGTAGCCTCAGATATTCTTTTGAGCTGTCCCTATGTCTTTTTTTCGTGTTTCAGCTATACATGGGACTACACCTGGAGTCGCATGGACGGCGGCTTTTCGTTATCGCGCTCGTGGCACATTTTTCTTCCACACATCGCTCTGATTGCCAGGTGAGTTTTTGAAACGCTCTTCTTCAGGGATTCCAGGGTGCTCAACAATGGCAGGAACATGGGCGTGTTCTCAGGGGCTGGTGTGCACAAGGTTGTTCCGAAACACTTGTCAAACTTGTTTTCTAGTAGATATTGGCAACAACTCATATAGGAACGGCAGGTCATACTGAAATGCAAAACCTGCGATTGCCTGTTGCGGAAAGTGGCCTATTATTTATCTCGCTAAGTGACCCCGATGCGAGAAAAAAAACGCAAAACCATGGAGAGCACCTTATTTGAGGACCTGGTAGCCTTCGTGGACCAGTTCTCCCGAACTACTCGTTTTATGCCAGCAAAGCCGATATCCTACTGCCTCTGGTTCACTAGTCGTTCCTTTGTTCATGCAATGTCAACACCAACAGAAAAAAAAACGATGAACACGGTGTAAAAACTGAAGTCCTGACAGAAAGTGACCCTTCAGCCCTGGTGGGCAGTACAGCTGAGGAGGCGTCAGAACTACCGCCCGCTTGTGAGGGCTCCAGCACTTTCTACCGTTAGGCGCAAATGCGGAACAATCGTAGAGATAGAGGGGCCAGACTACTCGTGCAAAGAAGGACCCCTCCGAATTGCTTGAAGGCGGAGACTATCTTTAATCTAGGCTTCACATTTTATTACTTCTTACTCGACCATTTCAGAGTAATCTCTCCCTATCAGTTCTGCTGTATCGTGTTTTGTGCATCCACGTTTACTGTTCTTTTATTTGTGACGTATCTTGTCAGTGCACAGGCATTCTGCATATGGAACGGGCAAACGCGAATGGAGTACTTACTGGTGAGAGTGAAGTAGTTCTTGTCCTGGTAAGGTGTGGTGCTCAGTCTTGTGTAAGTATTTTTAGGATGTGCGTGCCTATCAACTTGGCATCGTCGATAACATTCGCCAAAGTCTGGGAACCCGATGGCCACTCATTTTCATTTCTCCGTTCATTTCGAGTCATTTACCGTCGGATGGCACGTCATTTGTAACGCGAGATATAAAAGAATACAGTCATCCGAAGAATCTGTAATTACTAATTTAGATAATTTTTCAGCCTCCCGAGATGTACAGATAGTTTTATTGGACTGAACGTTTCGGCGAACATCGCCTTCTTCGGAGCCTGCAAGTCGAAACTTATCATCGAAACAATTCACTCAGTCACCATTTCTAACTACAGTAGGAAACTACAGAAAAAAGAATTGGTTCCATTAGGTTAAGGTCCTAATTACAGCGGGTGGCCTGTCCTATGACTGTTCCCTCAAGCCCTCTGACCTGTTACCTCGGAGTTCTAAAAACATATAAAAACTACCGTCTTGTAGTCTTGAAACTCAGAGTGCCCGGTAGAACTTCTACCCGTCAAAAGGTTGGTGGCTTTACGACTTAGTTCTAGGATCTCCTAGCCCGTAGTTTCTTACTGTAATTAGAAATGGTGACTGACTTGTTTGGAGGATAATCGCCTTGCAGGCTCCGAAGAAGGCGATGTTCGCCGAAACGTTAGTCCAATAAAATAATCTACAAATCTCGGGAGGCTGAAGAAACATTCTGAATTATTACGTCTCTGATGCCGAGATTAATCGAAAGCCGATCGAGTGATATTCTGTAATTACTGTTTTTTTTATTACTACATATAAGTCAGATTGTATGATCTCTATAAAACGATGCTTCTATACAATGCCTGCACTACACCGTTTTGTATATACTTTTTTGTGTGAATAAAGAGTAGTAATATGAGCCGATAATGGTACAGTTTTTGTCAAATTCAGTAGTGCTAAGGGGGGTGTCAAAAGTATTAAGCGAAAAAAGGGTCGATTGTGGTCGTATCGTGGTGATGGGAGATGGTGCTACCACACAAATGGTCCACTGTTGGATCCTGCTTGAGGCAAGCCAAGAGCGGATGAGATACCGATTGCTATGTTGCTCGACTGTACCCCGGCAACTAGGCACAATTCAAGAAAATCCTAATCATTTCGGTTTTTTTGCTATTTGACGCTGCGAAAAGGTTGAGCGTTTATTTCACCTGGAAACATGGGTTAATCGCTTGTGAACGATTCCGTCTTCACGAAAATCCTTCCATTTGCTGTATTTTTTCGTGTCCGCTGTTTCGCTAATTGAAGACACAAGACAGTTGTCCAGCTCCTTTTCAATATGATACCTTCAAAGCTTTAAAATTTTTTTCAAAGAACTGAATTCCTAAATCACCGCATTCCAACGAGTGTTACTCGGCCGAACAAAATCCCAAGTGCTCACAACTTACAATTGTTGGAACTTCCATAAAACAATATCCTTAAGAGGCTCGACTCCAGCAGACTTACCGAAACACAATAAATCTTCTATAGTTACCTCCCTCGTTCACTGAAAATAAGCCTTATCGCTAGTATTTGTGGCGCTCGGCTAAAGTTCAGTGTAGCAGAATAACCCAACCGGGACTTTTACCACCCCGATCGACTAATGAATGCAAGATACTTTTCATTAAGTGCACACAATTGCTGATATACAATAGCGGACTACTGCTGCACTCGCCCAAAGGCAAAATGAAACAGTCCATGCACGATTCACTCCTTTAGGCAGCATTCAGACTTGTAGCGCTACGTCGCGGTACAACTGTAGCGCTACGTCGCGCTGCAGCTGTAGCGCTACAGTTGTAGCGCGACGTAGCGCTACAAGTCTGAGCGCTGCCTTAAACTGCATCAATATTCACTTCGGCGTAACGAGACTGCACCAACGTTTCGGCTTGTCCTGCCGCGAAGCGAAGGATGCAAACCAGGGTCAAGCATCACGTCGCGGAAAATTGGGGGGGGTCGGTGCAACCTCCCCCTGGAGGGGTGTCCTTAAAGACACCGTGCTTTTCGGTTTTTTTTCTCTGTCAGAGGGTGTGAGTATTGGAGCTAGAGGTGAGCCAGATGCTTGGTGAGCTAGGGGCAGCAGGACATTCCTTTGCTGGCATAACATGAGCGAGTCCGGACAATTCGGGCAGTTAGGCTGCTAGGGGTCTTAACGGTGTTCACGTGATAATTCTTGTTCTTCCTGGGTATCATACTCACTGGGCGACTGTAAGTTCGTTGTTGAACGGCCTTACCTACAATATGCAATCGCGTTTGTTTAGACAACAGAGCCAAGTTTCAACGAACCTGGCGGTCCACCGTGCACTGCGTCGGCGCCGGTGGGCGCTGCCTCCAGACGCTTTAGCGCACGCGACTATTCGCAAATGATTCCACAATGGGAGTAACTCTTTATAGATTACCTCTTAGAGTGGTTTTGCATTTGCAAAACAAATTTGAGCTTGGCGTCTTATGATACGCACATCGGTGCTCACTGAACTGCAAGTAACCAAACTGCCCTATTAACCTACTGTACGACCAATACAGTGAGAATCTCTATGAGTAGCCATATCAATGCTCCTCGCAAAAAATCGAGTTTCGCAAGAAAATCACATCCATGAAGTAAATTCCGAACCTAAGGACAAATTCTGCGCATTCAAAAAAATCTCGCCTAGAAAGATACTTTGAAGCGTAACTGCTTTTACAGGAGCTTTATTTTGATCCGAATTAGACAACGTTGTCACAAAACACAAATAAATGCGATATGTAAAAATAGGCAAGTGCAAAAGATTCCGAAGCAGATCACAAAGAAAACGAGAGTAAATATTATTTGTGGCTCCACTCCATAGTGTACCAAGTTCCGGCTGAAGAAGGACCTGTCCAACCTCCTCACAGTATCGAAGGGCACACTCCTCGCAAAGTACGGGTATAACAGGTCTTACAAAAATGCAGAATGTTTTCACGTAGTAATAAGAGATCCACCAAAATGCAAATGTTTGAGAAATGAAATCAAATGACAGACTTGTCGATTAGACAGCACTTCTCAGCGATAGCGTTTCCTTACGACACATGGTTAGTTGACTCAACATCACAGACGAGTATTGACATGTTTGAACAGTCATGTTAACGAGAGCGTCGACTCTTCAACCGTTGCCGATATGCAGTCTAACGTGTTCAAATCACGTCAAACACGTTAAACTCGAGGGTGAAACTCGTCCGCATTTCCCCAAAATTTCATTTCAAGGAAAACGACTGGGTTATTCATAGGGGAGCTCAGTTCCATCCAGTTACAACATTTTTGTTAGTTTCGAGGCACTCAAAAATCTCGTAAGACACTGATGAAGCTAGGTTTTCCCTGTTTTGGTGAGTCCAATGGCCACCTTTCCTTTCGGAGTGGCATGATACGGGCATGAAGGTTGAGCCTTTTAATGATCTACTAGTGCTCTCCTTTAAAAGCCCATTTCGGACATAGCTTTACTACTTGGAACCTTGAGAATATGACAGGCAATGGTTATTTCCTTAACTCCTATGTGGTTACTTCTAATAATGCACGCTAAGACCATTACCTCCTCAGTTCACTTTTGAAGTGTTTAGCGTTTCACTTAGAAAAGTCTGATTCTACTCAGACGAGTACCTTCGCCTCTTCGGTCCCCTTCTATTGGCCCTTCTTCCTAAATTCACTTTTTCATGGTCGCGGTTTACGTGAGTAATTGCAACTTCGTTTTCATTTAGTGCATGGTCTTCTTCCTTTATTTCTCCATTCATCTCGCATACGGTAGCAGTGCGACTCCTTCTCAGGTTGCTTCCCAGTTGCTCACTATGAGGATTATGTCATTGCTGCTTCTTCTATATTATTGAGAATTTTTATTTATTTGACCATTCATGCCCTTTCTAAATCATGCATCCTTTTTTTACTTGTGAAATTAAGTGCTGAATAGCTAACTCCCTTTTTCTTCAAATGTCAAACTATTCAACATCACAGTGCTGTGAATAATTACTTTTGGGACCCATCTCGCAGTTCAACTATCAATAAGCAGTTATGAAACAGGAGTACTACTCGAGAACCCTAGACGGCAGATTGCCATTTTGGTCAATCATACGAAAACTGTAATCATCAGCTGAGTGTTCGCCACATCTTGGCACCTTAAAGCTTTTTGTCATTTTCTGAAATATCTCTAAATATTAGGTGGAGCAATGGGATTCCGCCTTTTTTTCGCTTTCGAAAACCTCTTCACAAAAGTCATAAGGATAAATTAAGCACTTAAGTGTTCTTCACGACCTACTCTCGCCTCTTTACAGTATTGTGGGTACTGTCGCGCCTAAACTCGTCTGGGTAGGATTGGAATTAGCGCGCCACAATTCGATGTCCTCAAACTTACTGAAATAGAACCTTTCATTTTACTTGACAGCGGGCAAAAAGAGAAATATTAGGTTGTTCGGAAAGAAATGCGCGTTGAAGCGCGTGAATTTGTCCATTTATTTCTCTCCTACTATAGAAGATTTTTCAAAACAGTTTTGTCTATTAGAAAGAGATTTTTATTGTGCATCTTTTGATATATTTTTGTCTATGTCTACTTTTTTTGAAAAAAAAGTTGGGAAGAGTGGGTGCCGCACCAGCTGAGCGACGCAAACAAGGCAACACGAGTGGCAATGGCCGGAATTCTTCTTCGTCGCTCCAAGAACAGCGGTTTCTTCGACTCTATTGTTACATCAGATGAGACATGGATCTGCTACGACAACGCAACGCGAAAAAGACAGTGGTTAGACGCCGGTGACACTCCAAAACCGACTCCGAAACCGGATATACACGGCAAAAAGGTGATGCTCTGTGTTTGGTGGAACAGCAAAGGTTTGGTGTACTTTGAAGTACTGGATTCGGGTCAAACAGTTACGGCGGACATCTACAAAGATCAGTTGAACCGCGTGGATCAAGCACTGCGTCGTCAAGGTGTCGAAACGACGTCGACAAAATTCCTCTGCTCGTCCACATGTCGCGAAAATCACTTTGAAAAAAATTGAGGAATTGGGCTGGGAAGTCCTGCCTCATCCGCCATACAGCCCAGACCTGGCACCATCCGATTACCATCTGTTCCGGTCGATGCAGCACTCCCTGGCCGAGAGAAAGTTCACAAACCGCGAAGAAGTCCAACTCTGGGTGTCCAACTACTTTGAGTCGCAGCCGGCCGTTCTTCGAAAGAGGAATCCATTCTTTGCATAAACGTTGGCAACAAGTCATTGATAGTAATGGAGATTATCTTTTGAATTGATCTTGTTTAATTTCGTTTTTATAATAAAAATTTTTTAACTCAAACGCGCATTTCTTTCCGAACAACCTAATTTTTTGTTGGCGCAATGCCCGGAGAGTATAGTGTGTGCTACATAACCTCCTCATCAAGTTCACTGAGGGAGCTTTGATGATCTTCGCAGTGTGAGGTCAGACGTTGCGTAGGATGAGTGGGCCTTTCCGGTGAGGTCTTTTCAGCAGGATGACTCCATCTACTCGCGGAATCTAGACTACTATTGCATGCACATTGCACATGGGAGAATGGGATCACCCATCGAAACTGCCATTCATGAATCTGAAAACATACCTCGAACATTCCTCGGCAGCCACAGCTCCTCTCCTTATACAGCCCTGTCGTCCCGGGTTAGTCTGGTATTAACCATTACTTTAGACCGAATGCCGTTTTCCGCCACCCATTATTTTCACTTCAAAGGTCTGGAATTGGGGCAAGGGTTATCCAATGAAAAGTGGTGACACTATTGTAGAGCAAACGCAGCGTTTGAAACTGTGTGTTACGCTTAGCATTGCGACCCGCCATATTTGAAAAAAAAACAAAGAATAAAACGGCTGGGACTCATTCTCGAACAAGTATGTCTCAAATAGATAGGACTAGATGGGGGTGTTTATGAAAGGAAGAGCCAAAATTCACACTTTATTCACAAAAAGTTGAGTTGTATTCTGTACATTTCCCACTATTGGTGAAACCTCCCACTGTGCGTCAATACATGGCCACTTGCTTTTCGAAATGATACGCTTTGCCGCGCAGTATCAGATGATAGAGAAGACAGACAGTTTGACTGCAAGTAATCTTAATGTTTATGCAGTAACTGCTATGATTAACACGAAACTCTCCTTACAGTAGGTTGACAAGTAGTTTTTGTAATGGGCGATGTCTACAAATCTAAGGAGCAGGTCAGGAATGGTAATGATTAGTAAAGTAAAAAATGATTCCCTTGTCACGCTTTTGCTTTCATGATACAACCCACAACCTCTTTTTTCAAATCCCTACATCTTTGACAACTGCATCAAATGGAGGTGGAGACAAGGTAAATAATAAATAGCTGATTTTCCGTTGCGATCTGAAAAGTCCCTTTAACTACTTTAAGTACAACCTCTCTTCTTGTGTCGAGACCAAATACACTTTCCTCTCTGTGACTCTCTCACAGCGATCGTTCAAGAAATTACATTAGCTGTAGTTCGGACTTCTCAAAGATCTCCGGAAAAATTGCGCTCAATCCTTTCATTTGCGTCAACTTTCTGTTCTTCCCCCCCCCCCTTTCCTCCTCCTCCAGAAGTTCTAGTTTCCACGTAGCCGTATAGTTAAAGAGTGCGAGAGAAGGGGTTAAACTGACAGTAGCTCCGATTATAAGATAGCTGGTTTGAGTCGGAAAATCTGCGAAGGTGAGGTATGTCTGGGGTCATCCATTACAGGGCGCGTTCTGCCGAGGGGGAAGAGTCTAGCAAAGTACAATCCCCAAAATCTGCTCCTCTACGACACCCTCTCCCCGTTCCCCCCATCCTTCATCCGACCTACCATCTCCCTGTACTTGCCCAGCGTTCTCCCGTTTCTCCGAAGCTTCCCAAAAAAAACTGCCATCGTGCGGGGAAGGGATGGGGTGGAGTGGGGAAGGAGAGGGGGTATATAGCGCATAAGAAACAGGAAAAACCGAGAAAAATCATTAACCAAAACATTTTTTCTCGGAAGCAGGTACGATTCCCTCCCACCAGCGACCAAGTACGACCCCCCTGCCCCTTCATTTGCGTCAACTTTCTGTTCTTCCCCCTCAGCGAATGCGCTCTAGTCCTTTAGGAGGGTCGGCGATGGGGATTGCACCGTCCATTTTCTTCCCGTTGGTTTTCGCTATAAGGAGATGGGAGCTAGTAATCACCTCTCGAAAAAAATGGACAATATGTACTTGAACCATTCAACCTTTTCCCTGACTTACCGATACTTCTTTACTTCGGCGCTGAGTTTAAACAAACCTTACCACGGCGAATATGAACAAATTGTTGCTGTGAACCTGTGAAAAAAGTCAGCACCAAAGTGCCCTCATTCTTCATTTTTCACATATAAATAAAGATTTTGTCAGAAGCAGACAATAACCCTTGATTCTTACAGGACCGGTGGTACTCTTAGAAACCGCTTTTCTCGATAGCAGGATGTGGGAGTCCAAACATGAAAGTGTTCGGAAAATGGCCCAAAAGACGGAAAAAAATAGAAGAAACCGACGAATACACTGAAAGTAAGCCTCCCTTTTAGCAGTTGAGCTTCAGCGTTGTACAAGCTGACGACGATGAAACATTGTACGCGCGAACGGAAAGGTACCATTTACAGTCCTGCCCAGCACGTTCGTGAGCGGCGGAGTCGGGCTCGATGGGGAAGCATGTGCTAACGACATAGGTTCCTGAGCGCATTGTTTTGTAGATTAAAGCCGCGATATGAGTACAACCTCTGCGAAAGATTCCATCCCTGTGACTGTAAAATAAGCCTTTGAAGACATGCCAACCATGGTATTCAAAAGTTCTCCTTGAACTTCGCTTAGGATTTACCTCACTTATTCATTTGAATCTATTACTGTCATTCTATGACGGTTAGCGTTAGCTTTGCAGTGTCTGGCGGATCTGTCATTCATGTGTAAGGAAATCAACCCTGATGTTCTGGGACTCACTAAGGCGCTGAGGACATGTCTAATTGTGCGTTGTTCCTAGTCATAAGCTCGGCTGGCAAGCAATTCCAACTTTTCACCTACATGAACGACTGAAGAAGTTTTCAGTAGTGACTTACGTGTCTGCGGATCAGCCGTGATTCTACTAAATAGTAACGTCCATAACATTCTCGTTTTTACACCGCTCAACTCGTGGACCCGTAAATCTAACACCAGTCCTTCATAAAATATCTTTTTGTGATACTAACGAATTCAGTCAACGGTGCACCACTCGTATTCGTCCAGTAGACCATGCGAATTCCCTTGCATGGACTATTTTCAGGGTGGCCAACACAATCTTCAAAATGGACTTACAACGGTTCAACCAATTGGTAATGCACATGCAATCTGCTGATAATACGGAACGGAGTGAGGCAGAGAAGATTTATTCAGAAATGGAGCTAGCTCCGAAAGCGTCAATGTTATTCTCATTATACTGCACTGCTGATGCCCCAGTTGAGGTAACTTGCTCGAACTTCTGGGTGAAACGGTTGTTTGAGAATCGTATAATAGCGCGTTTCGTTGTTGTAAGAAATATTGCAGTGTTGAGGAGCTTTGGCGATGATGTGAGGATTACAATTACGAAAATCACTTTGCATGTTATTTGGTGTTACTGCAAGGCTAAATGGTCCTGACACGAAGACCGCATACGCGGCGCGTCGCTCGCAGTCTGGAGAATCCAGCTCATCTGCGAAGAGTTAGGAAATATATCGGCAGGGAGAATCAAAAAAATATGCAAGTGAAACATGTGCAAATGAAAGAACGCGCATTCCCGAGCACACCCGTAACTGTTTATGACACCTAACATTAAAAAAAACAAATAGCTCTTAAATGAACAGAAAAAAAGAGGCACTGGTCAACAAAAGCCCATTATGAATCATAGAGAGTGGAAGGGTTGTCGTGCTATACAGAGGTATTTTTTTTACAACAAGACACTCAGTGGTTGATCTGACTAGGGCAATTTTGGAAACATACGAACTCCTGAATTTGAAAAAGTAATCGCTCAGACTATTTCAGGGCAAAATAATTCTGTGACCAAACGAAGCTCTTAACGCCTCAGTGTTGCCATGACCGAGATAGAGCCTATAGGTGTGGCCCCTCATAATGCTGAGAAGCGGGGATAAACGGAATACATCAGAGAGTTTCAGTTCAACGTCACTAGTCATCATTTGGTTCAAGAAGACTAAAGCAGCCTTTCCACGTTGTTCCAGATATGAGGATCCAAGGAAACGTAACTGTTCCTCATGCGGCAGTCGAAATATTTCTTTCCTCCGGCTCAATCTCGTGTACAAGGCTGGCCTTATAAGGGCACCACAGGGGGAGACATTCCAAGCAGAGGCCTAACACAGGCAGAAAGAACAAGAACGTTAGGATGACGCGTTTGAGAAGGCACTCAAAATGAAGTTGGCTCTAGCGCTAGCTTTGGCAGCGATGTTGGAAATGAAACACTCAAAATCAAATGCGTCATCATAGGTAATGCCAAGGTCCGCGCTTGTCTTGTGCTTGAGAACGGACTCGTCTAAATGGAGAACTGCCTCTGGATGGTTCCCGCTCAAACACATAACAACTGTCTTTTCCGGAAAAGTGTCGAGGTCCCAGTTGCTTGGCCATCGATGTAAGGCATTAATACCTCTTGGAGAAACTGTGTTGTTAACAGTATACAAGTTGGAGTCATGGGCGTGCATGGTGATGAAAACACCTGGCGGAAGCGCACAAGGCAGATCGTTCAACGAAAATAAAGAAACATCAAGGGACCAATACAGCTTCCTTGGGGGACCTCGCTAGTGTAGGACGCAGACATGGTTTTGTATCGTTTATGACATCGGACTGATTGCTATTTAAGAAACAGATAATTCAGAATGTTTCTTCAGCCTCCCGAGATTTGTACAGATATTTTATTGGACTAACGTTTCGGCGAACATCGCCTTCTTCGGAGCCTGCAAGTCGAAACCTATCATCGAAACAATTCATTCAAGCACCATTTCTAATTACAGTAAGAAACTACGGGCTAGGATATCTTAGAACTAAGTCGAAAGCCACCAACCTTTTGACGGGTAGAACTTCTTCTTCTTCTCGGGAGCTTGTATGTTCCCTCAAGCCCTCTGACCCGTCACTCGGAGTTTTCAAAACCATCCCAAAAAACAACAACAACAAGTTATAGTGGATCACACCAGCCGATGACCACCAAGCCGTGACCAGAATCTTTTTTTCGTGAGGGTTCGGCTTTGAAAATTACCTCGGTGGTTCGTCGAAATCCAACCACTGTCCGGAACGTCTCCTGTTATCATACATGACCCATTTTTCATCACAGGTGACAATTCGGCCCAAAAACAGGTCGTTTCTGCTGCGCAAAAGCAATGCAGAAGGAACCTCGAGACGTGCCGATTCCTGCCGGTCACTCCGATTGTGGGGCACCCAATTGTCGAGTTTTTTCACCTTCCCAATGCGTTCCAGACCATCTGCAACAGTGGATTTGCCAACGCCTAGCTTTTCTGCAATCCCTCGAACTGTTTGGGATGGGTCAGCCTCCAAAATCCCCCTAAAATCCTCGTCAGATATTGCTTTAGGTCGACCGCTATGAGGTTCATCTTCAAGGCTGAAATCTCCAGAACGAAATTTGTTGAGCCATTGCCGCACAGTGCTTTCTCTAGCACTATTGGGCCCCACACCTGGTTAATTTGTTGAGCTGTTTCGATTGCGGATTGCCCCAATTTATAGTCGAAGAAAAAAATCGTCCGAAGTGCTCTTTTCACATGCTTGAAAAAATCTTAAAAAAGGGGGTATCGAGGTGAAACGGCAGTTATACCATGAAACGGCAGTTATACCATCAGATAGCGCAAAGAATTCTCTTGAGGATGTACTACTAGGACGCAAGGGAGAGTGAGTTTTTAGGACGCAAGGGAGAGTGAGTTTTTAGGACGCAAGGGAGAGTGAGTTTTTAATCAGCAATGAATGTTCAAAAAATAGTAACACAAAACGTGCAGAACTTTCCGGACAACCTAATAGTAACTCCGATATTTTGGTAAAAGGATGATCGTAAGCAATCTTCGTCTTTTTACTCAATAGACGAAAACCCGTGATTGTGTACTGTGGATAGTGAAATTCGATTACGGACCTACAGTCGCTAAACACTCCAGGAAAGGAAAAAAAAAACAAAAAAGGTCATGCAGAACACCCAACCTATGGACCCCCTTTCCCCGGGGGGTCCATAGGTTGGGTGTTCTGCAGACCTTTTTTTGTTGCCTTCTGGCCCCTGGCTGCCTTTCCGGACGAGTTATTCGGACTTGCTCGTTTTATGCCAGCAAAGTGTTATCCTGCTGCCTCTGGCTCATTATCCTTTCTTCGCTGCATTCAATGCTGATGCAGTCTAACTAAAAAAAAACGAAAAACACGACGTAAGAAGTGAAATCATGACAGAAATCGCGTTTGAGTTTCGGTGGGCGGGAAAACTAGGGAGGCGTCAGAACGGCCCCTCATGGGGGCTACAACGCTTTTATTACTTACTATGAAAACGTTAAAAAGGGATAATGTTAAAGATTGAGGACGAGACCATACATATAAGGAGGGAGACAGACAAATTGCTTTAACGCGGGGACTGTCTTCAAGACAGTATGAACAGCAGGGCACATCGTTGTTGGGGATTCCCCAACGGGAGGGGGGGGTCGTATTTGGGCTGAGAGCTTTTTTTGATAGTCGATTTTCTTGTTTGGGAAACGTTGTAAAGGGGGAAATCGTATTTGCGTGCTGTTGGGAGGGAGAGGTCGTATTCTCCTTCTTGCCTTTGGGAGAAGGTTGCAGACGTTCTCCCCTGATTTCTCCGATTTCTCGTGTTTCATGTATACTATATACCCCCTGTCATAAATACTATATACCCCCCCCCTCCTCCCGCTCGTACAGCAAAATTTCTGGGTAAATAGGGAAATAGCGGGAAATTAGTAGGGAGTTGAGGAAAATCCAACAAATGGCAGAAAGGGGGGGGGGTTCATACCAACCCTTTAAAAGGCGGAGGGGGTCGTACGGACTCTACCAAAATCGCCAGCCAATGATGTGCCCTGATGAGCAATTCAGATATCGCGATGACGCACGTCGTAGCGTGTCGTCACGATGTCTGAACGCTGTCCTCGCTAGCGAATGTGCGGACGAACATACATGATCTGGCTCAGTAAGGCACCGCGTGCCTTCACCACTATCTTATCACCGCATATTGCCACATCAGAATGGTTGCTTGAAGAGAAAAGAGGACAAAAAAAGAAACAAGATAGGAAAAGAACTTCAATAGAGCGCTAGTAACTTCGAATTGAGAGGTCGTAGGAAGGATCGTTCACGAACGGACAGCGTGCATGTTACCCAACTTATTAGCAAAGAAGAAAGTAACAAAAATGTTCGGAAACGCTCTGAACCTCGAATTTTCAAGTTCTTTTTAACCTGCTGGTTACGTCACCCTTGGCTCACAACAGTTTCAGCGCATCCTCCATCACTAAATGCCGCCCAACATTTGTAAGAAAATGATAGGAATTGCGTGGAACCGAAGGTTTTAGGCTAGAGGAAAAAAGGCTGCAGAAAACGACGATCGTTTGGGGCGATCACATTCCAGTTGACATGTAATGACAGGTGATGATACGCGTCTAACTAAGTGGATATCCTTCCAAATCTCCAGGCTAGGTTTTCATATTTGATGATCTACATAGAATCAAGACTGCTGTCTTTAGTGCCTATGCCTGTCGCCCAGGATCATTTAGGAAAATGCACTAGTTCAAAGTTTCGGACGAGTTGTCTTATATGGAAGACGACTCACATTACAGATTTCGACACGTTGGTATCAAAGTGACCGCGAGAAAAGGCATACACCCAATCTTAGGGAAATGCACAAGAGTGGGCTTTTAGACAAGTTATCGTGACCTAACTGTAAGTTGGCTTGTCTGGCAAATTTTGACAAGTCATGGCAATATAACCCCGCCAAAGCCGCCAAACGTCATACACCTGGTACATCCATGTCTTGCGAGCAGTTCCAAAAAGAGATCAGTGGAGGAACAAGCCACGCGTTTTGAGTATCCTCATAACATACAGTCCTCATCATTGCGGACCGGTGGGGCGTGTCAGCCAGTATGAGTGTGCACACTGTTGAAGCCGTTCTCAGCCTTTTTTTGAAACGCGTATGCGACAAAAAGTGGTAGAAAACGAGTAATACGAAGGATATAATACAGTAATGTCACTTGCCCGCTTCAACAACTGGTGCAGAACGACGGCACCGCGCCAAACGCAGCCGCACTGACACGCCCCACCGGTCCGCAATGATGAGGACTGTATTTCCAGAAGAACAAAGTAACACACTTTGTGTGTGTGCGGGCTTGCTACCAAACACAAGGAGATTCTGTTTGTCAGCTAGCAGACAATGTCTTGAATCCAAATCGATCACCTGTATCTTCTTTGCTCGTGCTTACCATCAAGCTGACGAGTTTACGTTTGCCAATATTCAGAATATGTCTAAGGTTTGGAACAACGCAACTGCGACCTGCATCTAGATGTGGTATTCAAGCGTCTCAAACCTCAGTCAAGATTAGGCTGCGTTTATACTTTGCGGCAGCGTAGCGTAGCGCTTCCAGCGTTTCACTAGCGTTTCGCTAGCGTTTGGCTAGAGAGTATAGAAGAGTAGGAGAGTACAGAATACTCTCCTACGCTAGAGAGTATAGAAGAGTAGGAGAGTACAAAATACTCTCCTACGCTAGAGAGTATAGAAGAGTAGGAGAGTACAAAATGCTCTCCTACGCTAGAGAGTATAGAAGAGTACGAGAGTACAAAGTATCTCCTACGCTAGAGCTCTCCTACTCTCATATACTCTCTAGCCCCGCCGCTGCAAACGCTAGCGAAACGCTCGTGAAACGCTGGGAGCGCTAGATCGATAGCTATGCTTCCCGTGCCCTCGCTACGCTAGCGTACGCTGGTGACGCTGGGAACGCTAGATCGATATCTATCCTTTCCCCGACACTGCCGCTGGCGTACGCTACGCTACGCTGCCGCAAAGTATAAACGCAGCCTTACGCCAGCGCACGCTAGCGTAGCGAGGGCACGGGAAGCATAGCTATCGATCTAGCGCTCCCAGCGTTTCACGAGCGTTTCGCTAGCGCTTGCAGCGGCGGGGCTAGAGAGTATAAAAGAGTAGGAGAGCTCTAGCGTAGGAGATACTTTGTACTCTCGCACTCTTCTACACC